GCGGGGGGGAGTGGGGGCTGGGAGCCAGGACTCCTGGGTTCTCTCCCTGGCTCTGGGAGGGGAGTGGGGTCCCACCCTTCGTTCCTGACCCCCCCCCTTCCCTTCCGTGCCCCCTCCTTAGGTGAACTACACCCAGCCCATCGTGGCCGTCAAGTTCCTCACCCTGGAGGCCAACACGGACCACAACGTGGAGTGTAAGGTCAACGCGGTGAACATCGCCACCACCGACGAGCGGGACAAGTTCGCCGGCCGCGTGGCCTTCAAGATCCGGGTCAACAGGGACTAAGCCCCGCCTCCCCTTTCCCCCTCCCCCACCTTTCCCGGGGCTCCACCCCCAAAATGGGCAGGGCTTAATGGAGGAGGAGGAGCCAGTTTCATAAGGGGAGGCGCCCCCAGCACATCCTGGGTGGGGCTTGATGATGGAGGAGGAGGAGGAGCCTATTTCATCGGGGAGGGGGACCTCCTGGGATTTTATTTTTTTTGGCGGGGGGGGTCCTGCTGAGAATCCTAGGATAACTAACCTGGCTTTTAGGCCGTTTTAGTGACCTTCCCTGTGCCCCCCCAATTCTGCCCCCCCACCCCAAAACGTGCTGATTACACTGAAGGGTCTGGTACCACCCTACACCCACCCACCCCAAACCTTTGGAATGCTACATCGCTTTGATCTCTTCTAATGCCCCTTCCCCCCCCCTTTTTTGGGGGGGCAGCTCAGAGCCTGTGACCTCCCCCTTTCCCCTGCCCCTTGAAATCCCACTGAGATGTTTCCTAATATAATAATAAATGTATATAGATATTTTTTATATATATATATTAAAAATTAAGGTATGGCCGAGACCTCTATTTTTTCCCCCCCATGTACCCCACACACACACCTGCCTACTCCCCATTTTCCATCCGCCACCCCACACCCCTACAATAGACATTGAGATTTGGTGCATTGTCTTGAGCTGGTGGCCATTTTGTTTCCCTGACCTAGTAGGTGCCTAGGGTTGAATGGAGGGATATAGGCCGGGAATTGGAATGACCCCAGTTCGGCGGCCAACAGTACGGCCGCCGTTGACCCGGTAGGTTAGAAAGCAAAATGGCTGAACAGCGGCTGTCCTATTGTGGGATAGCAGCCCTTGTCTGTGGAGACCAGGAATCAAAATGGCCACCGTTCCGCAGCCAACGACCTGGCAAGCCATCATCCATATAGGCTGCAAATCAAAATGGCTGGACAATAGCTGCGGAATGTCTGCAATTTTGACCCCCTGCCCTGCGAAAGAGACACGTTGGCCGTCGTCTGGGTAGGCCTGGAATCAAAATGGCTGCCGTCGGCTGTGGAAATGGGGCCATTTTGTTTCTTAGCTTCTGTGGCAAAAAGTCTGGCCAACTTGACTGGGGCATGTGGGCCAGGAAAGAAAATGGCCACCATTTTCAGCCTACATTTGGCTCGGTCTGTGAAGAAACAAAATGGCCGCTGTAGTCAAAGGCTTGACATAGCCTCTGAGGAAGGGTCGCCATTTTGAGACTGTGGAATGGTGGCCATCTTGGATTCCTGGCCTACAGAACTGAGGCCGCCATGTTGGGCTGTAACCTTTTCTAGCACCTCCTTCTGAGTCGTACCCCTGCTCCCTACCAATGTGACCCCTTTCCTCATCTTAGGGTCTGTCTTCCTCTTTTAATGTACAGTTATTTTTAATCTGTCTTTTCGCTTAATGCGGCATATGCACTGAGACAAGATTTGCCCCCCCACCCCAGCATCCTGGGAAATTCCTTGCACCCTCTTAACTCTGCCCTTGAAACAGCTGATGCAAACGTTGCCTGTATTAGACTCCTGCCCGATCTTTAGTCTTCTCTGCTGCTGTCTGTAAACCACAAGAGAAACAATTCCCTTTTATTTGGAACTGGAAGTAATTTTTAAAAAATAATTAAATCCCTCTTGTCCCCCCGCCCCCCGATTTTCCTAATGCTGCATCCTTGAGATCACTGTATGAATGAAATAACTTAACTCCTTTGCTTTTTAACTTTTTTAATTATTATTATGGTTCGTTTTTATTTGCAGAATTATTTAATTGCCTGTATCGAATCTACTGTAAAAGATGAGGAGAAATAAAACAAAAAACCCACCCTTTAAAAACTAGAGATGGTAACGCAGTGTTTAATTTTCAACGTGGAGTGTTTTAGAATTGGTGGAACTCACTGTAACATGGTACTGAGGTCACAGATGGGATATTGAAAGCCATAGATGGCAGTGGAGTGTGTTTAGAGTCTGTGGAACTCACCGCAACAAGGTACTGAGGTCACAAATGGGATATAAAAGCCCACGTGGCCTTACTACAATTGTACTTAAGTTGGAGCCCAGTGTAATTTTGAGGCCTAGTCCTGGCTCTCTGACTAGGTAAGTCCCTTTCCATCTCTGCGTGCCTCAGTTTCTCCAGCATTACAGTGAGGACACTGATTCTGAACCCCCTTTGTAAAGCCCTTTGAGGTCGGCTGTTGAGTGGAGCTATGGATTATTAATTAAAGTAACTCATAATTTACCGTGATAGCGTCTGACACCAAAGTATCTGAGGACTTTTGTCACCTTCAGTTGGTTTCTCTTCCCGTGAGGTAGGGGGGATATGATCCCCATTGTACAGAGGGGTGAATCATTCCCTCAAGAGCCAGATTGGAGCCACTGTGGTGTCCCCTCCTCCCCCCCCCAGCTTCCCCTCCCCCCAACAGAGAGATTGCTGGAGCAAATATTGGAGATCCCACTGCTGACACCAATGTCCCTTGGCACAGGAGGAAGAAGATGAGCTGCAACTAATTGGGGGTGGGGGAAGGCGGATCTTTGGGTAGGGGTGGGGCTTGAACATTGATGGGGGAGGGGCCTTCTATGTGAATGGGTGGGGCCAGCACAGAGGGGGCAGGGCAATGCAGGAGAGGGGTGTATGTCTTGCTCTTCTCATTATGGCCTTTTTTTGACCCCGAGGGAGGGGGATGCCGTCTTGTTCTTCGACACAAGGGCGGGGGCTGGGAGCCAGGACTCCTGGGTTCTCTCCCTGGCTCTGCGAGGGAGGGGGAAGAGGTTACTGCAACACCAGAGACAGATCCGGTGGTGGTGGTGGGGAATTGACATCATCCCCTCCCCAGGGGGGCCCCTCCCATCTATCTCCCAAGACCCTGTTCTTTTTTTGGGGGAGGCGAGGGACTTTCCCCCTGGCATCTTGGGAAGAATTTTCTCCCCTAGTAACCTACATAATTTTTTTCCCCTTGGGGGAATTTAACCCCCCCCCCCCCCATTACTGTGCCTGGGCCAGGCTGGACAGATTGTCCTGCGTTAATCTTCCTGCGCTGCTCAATCCCTCACGGGGGGAGGGGCCTGGATATGAGGGGGGGGTCCTAGAGCTGGGGGTCCTGCCCCCCCCACTGCAGGCAGGGCCGGCTCCAGGCACCAGCTTACCAAGCAGGTCGTCCAGCTGTTCGGCGGCAATTCGGCGGACAGTCCCTCACTGCCGCTCGGAGCGAAGGACCTCCCGCAGAATTGCCGCCGCAGATCGCAATCGGGGCTTTTTTTTTTTTTTTTTGGCTGCTTGGGGCTGCCAAAACCCTGGAGCCGGCCCTGGCTGCACGGGAAAAGGATCTGCCTTAGCCCTGTAGCCCCCAGCGCGCCGGGGGCTGCAGGGACACAGAGCGAGAGACAGGCCCTGTGGTGGGGGCTGGGAGCCAGGACTCCTGGGTTCTCTCCCTGGCTCTGGGAGAGGAGTGGGGGCTGGTGGGTTGGAGCAGGGGGGGCTGGGAGCCAGGACTCCTAGTGTTCAGCCCCACTATGCCCATACGCCCTGACCCCCCCCCCACACACACACACACCATGGGGTTGGCTGGTGCCACACAGTGTGGGGGTGGGGGAGCTGTTCCCAGGAGGGTGTCTGGGCAGGCTGCCCTGGTTGGGGGGCACATTGTGCCTGCTGTGAGGGTAAGGGACGTAGCCTCACGTGCCCCCGGCGCTGGACAGCCAGGCGCTGCCCAGCCTGGACGGACGCCCGGCCTGCTGCCCCCTCCGCCTGCCCAGCTCCTGTCCCCCACGGCTCCCCTCCCCTCAGGTACCCCAGCTCCCGCCCAGCCTCCCCCCACACAGCCTGCTCCCCTCCCTCCCCCCATCTGCCCAGGCCCCTCTGCTCCCCTCCCCACGGGTACCCCAGCTCCCGCCCAGCCTCCCCCCACACAGCCTGCTTCCCCACATCTGCCCGGGCCCCTCTGCTCCCCTCCCCATGGATACCCCAGCTCCTGCCCAGCCTCCCCCCCCACAGCCTGCTCCCCTCCCTCCCCCCATCTGCCCAGGCCCCTCTGCTCCCCTCCCCACGGGTACCCCAGCTCCCGCCCAGCCTCCCCCC